AAAGATAAATTGTGTATTGCTCTTGATATAATATGCCCGACTACGATAGAGAATATAGGATCGCATTTCTTGTAGTAAGAAACCCTAAACTATGGAAAGGTAAATATTGCGATATGCATGTTCCTCCGTCCATACTGCTGGGCACTAATCTGAAATATGTCTGGGTTGGCGAGAAAGCTCTCAGTATGCGTGATGCTGTTTCTAAACCGTTTTCATAAAGCAATTTTGTCATACATTGTATAATCTCCCCATAGTATTCAATAGCACAGTGCGCAATTGTAGTGCAGCACCATAATAAAACGCTTGATTCATCACAACCTTTCTAGTGATCCAACTTAACGCACAGGCAGGTAGGCAGATCAGATTATGCAAACTGCCTGGCGTCCAGGCCCTCTAAGCAAGCGATTCTGTTACCAGGACTTTCATAACTGACAATCGAGGTGATTGCGACAGGGATTCAGAGATTCCCTAACTTATGGTTTTCCCCTGCTAGCTAAGATATGTCGAACCAACACAGCTCAGAATTAGTTTAATTCGTGGAACTCTCTTTCCAATATCCTAGTTTAGTTGTACTCAACGGCATGCACTCACTGTCACATAGTAGTATCTTTAAGGCCCTAACACTGTCTTTAATCTCCTGTCTATTTTTCTCGTACGCTTTCTCTTCGGGTCGGGGCGGGTCTTAGATTTTGAACCCGGACCCGGCCCGAAGACCAGTCTACCCCCGACTCCAGACTGTACTGTCCGACTAGACAGAGTACAACAGCGGATATTTACTCGAACAGTGGCCCATATTCAAACTAATTGCGAAGCCATTCCATTTTCGAAGATTAGTACCCATCATACAACCGTGGTGCGTAGTTCAAATTCTTCGGGCCTCTTATATTCCTCTGCAAACAGGGAACAAGTACATACAACTATATTCCGGAGTGCATTTTGGGCAACTTAGCCATATTTACACTCTATAGTATAATCTGGATGCAAATATAATTGTACCCTCTAAGACTTCATACATTATAGATACACAAAAGTAGATAAAAAAGTACATATTTCAAATCTTTAAAATGTCACGTGTTTTGGCCGAACACAACAATTCATAAAAAAAAATTCTCATCACTTAACCCACCCTAAGTTCTAGTGGAGCTAAAAGCCGATACAGTCCGTTACCGTTTCTTGATACCGGTTATCACCAAGAGATGCCATAGGACGGGCAAAGACCACTGCTTGGCGTTGTAAATACCGTGTACTAGCCCATTTTTCCCCTGCGGAAGAATCTCGGGTTGCCGCGCTACCTTCCGAGTAAATTATGATTGAGCTGGTAGCGAGACACGCTTAGCCCAAACAGAAGTAAAGATCGCCGATCTATGCATCGAATGGAACTAGTGATCCACCTAACTTGGTGGGATATACCTATTAGGGAGTAGATATTCTACGGTCGTCGAGTCATCATGAATGGTGAGTGGAACTATTGATCCAAGTCAAACTTTTTTATGTTCAGCAGCTGGCTCGTTCACTAAATGCTATATCATGACGGCGATCCCCTACATCCGCTTTTTCTAAGTCATCAGGATTGGTTATGCTCGATATGCCTGGCCAGTGGTCTACCAAGCTCTACCTTCTCGGCTATTTGCAGGTAGCCCCTGCTCTCGCGAGCATCCAGTGGTCACCATGCACAGCAAATCCATCCCTAGATTGCGCAACCCTCACAGTGCCGCTCGAATACGCTGATCCAGGAAATGGGAAGTTGGCGTACATTCCATTAGCTCGCTACAATGCCACCGTCCCTAAATCCCAGCGCAAAGGCTCTCTCTTGACAAATCCAGGTGGTCCTGGGTCTGCCGGAACCGATTTCCTTTTGAACGGCGCCGGAGAGGGGATGTCCAACATCACAGGCGGCTTTTATGACATCGTATCCTGGGATCCACGCGGGACGGGTTCCGCACGACCTCTCCTTCAATGCTTCAACACGGCAGGCGAGGAAGCCGACGCATCTGCCGCGCTTCCCGCAGCGGCTGAGATAGAGTATAGCCAATTCCGCAACCAAAGCTACATGCCCTCGTATTACGCAGCGCTGAAGGACTACGATAACGCCATTGCTGAGCTTGCCGACGCATGTGCGGACCACAATTCCCCAGCATTATACACCTCCAGCACAGCCTATGTCGTCCGTGATATGGCAGCTATCATCGATGCCCTAGAAGGAACAGATAATGCAACCCTGAACTACTGGGGTTTTTCATATGGAACTATCCTCGCTGCCGAATTCATCCAGACTTACCCAGAAAGAGTCGGGAAGATTGTCTTTGACGGCATTTTCGATTCTGCCGCGAATGCGCAACCATATACTAGTCAGCTTCCCTATGATGAGTTATATGTGCGAGACTCTATCAACGATCTGGCTACATTCTGTACACAAGCTGGCATAGATGGTTGTGCTTTGAATAATGCTCCGGGAAACCGCACTACCCCGGGGAATCGCACTACAGACATCGCAACGCGTCTTGCTAATCTACAAGCGTCACTCTATGAAAGCCCTATTGAGGTATCAGACGGATCGTTCTCCATTACAGTTGGGATGTTCAGCTTTTTCATGCTCTCCTTCTTGAGACTGCCCAGCTCATGGCCCGCTGTCGCATCGGCAGTGAGCGCCCTCGAGCAAGGAAATGCCGACCCTGTCGCCAGCCTCCTGACAGATGCAGCAGGTCCAGAAGTGAACGCCAGTGCACCTGACACTGGCTCTTTCGCTGGATGGCCTATTCAGTGCACCGATAACGCCCCCTCCAACCATACCAAATTACCTGAAGTTGCGCAATTAGTCCTCAATATCTCTCTCGCCGAGCAGACCCCATGGTTGAATGCGGATCTGTCCACCTTATCCTTCTGTCGCAATTTCCCAGATACCCGTCCAAGAGTTCCGAACCTAGGAGCCTCAAAGCTCATTAGCGGAGAGACAAACGCCATCCTCACTAAGCAGAATACTTCGGTTTTGATTATTAATCCGCTGCACGACGCTACTACTCCTATCAACTCTGCGGTACGCTTACACCGCTGGCTTCCTACTTCATCTCAGCTGTCGGTAAGGCGGGGACCTGGCCATACCACAATCAGTCTTGGTTCTTTAGGGCTGGCGAAGACGATCCGCGAGTATCTCCTTGACGGAGCTCTGCCGGCTACGACAGAGGTGTATGACGTGAGTCAGGAAATCTTTTCCTCCGCTATTGACCCGAGTACAATTATCCCAGATCCTGTTTTTAATGGGACCTATAGTGACTCTGAGAGGATGCTGTTGGAGTCTACCTATAAAATTTACCTGGCTTTCGTGAGCTTACCATAGTGGTATGCTTTCATAGAACCCGAGTTGCAGGTTCGGCATCAAACCTGCAGCACTTTTATTGTAAACTAAATGAACTGCATAGTATAGAATATGAAATTTATCTGTACATATATCTACCTAATAACTATTGCCGAGTATTTCAAACTATCCCAGAACTAATAATGCATGCTTTAGCAAAAGAGGAGTCCACTACTGACAAAAGACAGCACCATATGCCTTTATTTTAGACCATAATTGAAGTACATACGACAAGACCCTACACATCGCTCACATAGTGCACCATCCATGTGCACAGCCATTATATTACATCGATATATATCCAGGCTGGCCCAGCTCTCCGACTTCGGAGGTAAAAAGCGGCCTTTCTAACCAGCTATTGTGACGCAAGGAATATATTGTGTCGGCAAATGTAGGTCTGTGGATATCATGGCACACAGCCACCAATGTGGACCCCCTTTTTCAGCGTACAAATTTGTAATGTGCTGCAGTCATACACATATTATCTCTGGGTATTAGGGTATAAAACGCTCAATGAATGATTACAAGTACATTAGTCAGGAGGCTCCAAGAGTTCGGCAGTGAAAGTCTCATACAGAGTCTCCACTGCGTCCACATTTCTCAAGTTCTCGCCTATCAGATGATCAGATAAAAAATAATGACTGCCGGTGAAAGCAAACTAATCTGCCCCGCTGGATCTTGGCGGATAGTCTGGTCTAGACATCTGAATTCCGCTGACTGAAACTCAACCAAACAACCCTATTATATTTCCCTAGGTAGGCCCGGTAGTTCCTAAAACGGAGCAATAACGATGATCTCAATTAAAAGTAGGTACAGCTTCGGTGGATGGGTGGAAATCTGATAACCCTCAAGTGGATAATTCCACTCTGTTGGCCGGTTTTCTATGGAGCACAGACGAATCCCGTAGGGAATTGTTAAGATCAATGTACAATTATATAGATGAGCGATAAAAGGTTTCATGACGCGAAAACCCGTCCCGACCCTGGCTCCAGTTCGGGTTTTCGGGTGGCTCAACCCGAATCCAGCCCGAGCTCAAATGGAAAATTGATAGCCCGACCCGCGGGTTCCTGAACCACTGCAGCTTGTAAGTATCTAAGTAGTTTAGTAGCTGTCTAGACAAGGCAAAGGTATCAATAGGTATTTTCTCTTGTACTCACTGCAAACCTTGTCTGGTAAACACAAAAACTATTCCGAGATATGCGGGATGCGGCTTGCATAAAAGCAAGGATGTCAAAGACAGCTTCCGGCAGTAAAGGTATGGGAATATATATCCGGCTTAGGATAAATGCTGTTCGACGAAGATAGTATACAACCACCATGGAAGAGACATGAGTATGATGTGTTTTTGGCAGAGAATGAGATAGCTTTTCGTAGCATGGTGCAGTTAACTCGGTCCTCAGTCCGACAAACCGGGCAACAATCAATGAAGTTGTTGACGTGAGTAGTTGTAACGATGAGGGTTGCCCTAGTGGCGTAATCGGCCTAAACAAGATACTGAATGAAAAAAAAAAAAAAAAAGAAAAAGAGAAGGCATTGGACCAGAATAAAGAATATACTGAAAGTCTGCTTTTAAAATTTATCCAGACATGAAAGTTAGAGGTTATTTACAAACGCACTCCTCAGTTTGTCCAAAAGAAATAACTCCTAACTAGAGAGGTAAATCTTCCTCTGCAAGTCCAACCCATTCCAAGGTCTTCTCCCACAGCCTTTGCTGCTTCACCGCATCGAGGCTCTCCGGTGAGCTGGTGTCTTGCTTCTTCCAGGTGAAGTAACCCTTCGCACCAGTGAACTGGGGATCAACTGCCAGCTCCGCGGCATCGATGCCTGCCTCCGCGGCGGTCCGCATCGTGGGATCCTTGTATTTCAGCAGCGGTTGTAGAGGCTGGATAACGAACCGGGAGATGAACTGCAGCTTCGCGGGTGTATTCACCCGCAGTGCACGAGAATCGCTCAGATTTCCTGGGTTGCCGGCGATCGCGGTCACACCATGGAGAGTACATGTGGTCTGATATTCATATACGCATTTGTCATGCCGCAGTTAGAGAATTCAATAAAAATATCTAAGTAAGATATGAGAGAAAGAGGAAAAAGGAGTGAAAGAATGCAAGAAAGGAACGTACAGCTTCTAGACGTGCATTGAGTGCATACATCCACATAGTCACTGCTAGCTTTGCGATAGCGTAACGCTGGAATCCCCAGCCTAAGGGATTTTGGCCCTGGGCCCCGCCGACAGGGCTGACTTCATTGGGAGGCGATGCTGCCGTTCTTAAGGAGTCGAGATCGTCCGGGAGGGCAGGGGGGTATGTCTCGAGGCCGTTTTTCCCGGGCCAGTGGGCATCGCTGCTAAAAAGGACGATGCGACCGACGGTAGTGTCGGGCTTTGAGCCGAAGGACCCCAAGAGACGAAGGACTAATGCGGTATGGGCCAAGTAGGTGACCTACCAGGTCTGCTCGAAGCCATCCCGGGTGTTGATGGTGTCGCCCGTGAGGTTCCAGTAGAAGGCATTGCAGATGATGCTGCTTAGGGGAGGGAGCCTGCTGGTGGTGATGTCGGTGGCCAGGGAGCTCGCGAATTGATTGACATCGCTCAGACGGGCGAGATCAAGTGCTCGGACGTGCACGCGATCGCAATAGGGCCCGACTATATCGAGTAGTCGCCTGGTGTTGACATCCTCGGCTGAGGGATTACGCACGGCCAAGACTAGAGTAAATTGTGAGTATGTCTTAAGGAGATGCTCCACCATGGGCACTGCCAAAGACCCGTTGGATCCAGTCACGAGGATGGTGCCCCTGCTTGCCATTGTCGTAAGGGCTGTCTAGTTGAGTACTCTGTATTAAGTGTCAAAGTCCGGAGCAGAGGGAGTGGATGAAGATGGTATTCGCACAAAGGGCATCATAGCAGGTGACGCACGTCAAGACCTGGGATTATGATACGAAGGAATAGATGAATTGGACTGCTGGTTAAGTCAATAAAGACAAACTGCATAGCCACTCAGCGGACCACCTCTTAGGTAATGGTTATGGAGTAAGATATCAGCCCTCTATAAGATAGGCTAAATACCTCTTTCACCTAGCTCTAGATAGCCAATAATCCATGTAGTCTCACATCGTGTTATCCTTAGGGCCACCCGCCCTTGCCCATTAATGTTGCGTCAATCTCGTCAAGCCTATCAGCAGTCACCAACCTAGAGCTTAGTGCTTACTTCAAATCCACCCTCCATGGAACATTCCTTTTGTTGTAGAACTACGGCCGTTAATTCCGATATCCCCGCATACTACCGTATTTAAAGCATTTGTCATCGACCATATTCTGTCCTACGCTTAACCCATCCTACGTACTACATCCCTCCGACAAGTTGTCCACAGTAATCCCACAATGTCGACCCCTTCAGAATCCCTCTCCCTTCAAGTAACGATCCACCTCAATCCCGAGGACCTGCCAAAATTCTGGACCGCAATGAAACCCGCCTACGAGGCCGTCACCGCCGAACCCGAATGTACTTTTTTCGAATTATACCAGGAGCCAGACTCCCCCGGCACAATCTCGTGGGTGGAGAATTGGTACCTTCTCCTGCTTGAGCTTTGTTCCTAACATATTTCTATTCTCCCATCTTTGCACTCAATGAAAAAGGTACTCTGGCGGAACTTTCATGACTAAATGTGAATTTATTAGGTCCGCGTCAAAAGAATGGCTTATCGGGGTACGTATATCATCCACCTACCCCCACTCACCCCTTAACAGTAACCTTTCGTGTTCATTTGGTATCGAGAAGTAAAGCGATAGCTTACTGATGGTAAAACAGGTACAATTGAAAAAGCCATATTACCATGATTATTTGGCTGTGACGGAGCCGTTGTTTGTGAAGCCCAGAGAGGTCAAGTTGTTGAAGAGGGTTGGGGAGCCGTTCGTAATGGTGAAGAAGGCGAATGGAGGGTTGTTAGAGTAAATTGGAATGTTGATGAAAGAAGAAATTTCTTGATGTCAACGAGGCTTTCTGTATAGCATTTGATAGTGTATAGTGTTGGGTCGCCATCAATAGGGAATGGTTGAATATGTATTGAACTTGTGAGCTATGTTGCTGTGCTTGTCATGTTCGAAGCATAATTAACATCGCGAAACAACAATGAAACATCGTGGAAGCTGCGGTAATATCAATGAGACTAACACAATTTATATTCTTAGTGGTAGGAGACGTGATAATATAAGTAGTGTGCTTGATAAGCATCTCACTTGTAAGTACTCTTGTCACTCAAGCGATCTCCTGCAAGATCGATCATGGGCATGTCACAGTTGTTGACCAGGGTTATCACAGTACCTCAAAAATAGACACATATATGTGTATTCCAATCTCCTGTAACGTGTGTGCACTACACACGGTGAAGTGGCAAAGGTTAGCTAAGTCTTCATTGCGAGGACGATCCAAAACACGGTATGTAGGAAATTAAAATCTTTTGATCATGTGGCTGTTGCATGAGATAATCCATGGACAAGCTACTCTGACATACAGTGAATATTGAAAAGCCTCCTCCATGCCTGGGAACTGTTGTTGTTGTTGTTGTTGTTGTTGTTGTTGTTGTTGCTGTCAGGCTCCCCTAACAACCGGTCAGTGACAGATAAGAAAAGAAAAGAAAAGAAAAAGAAAGCACACAACAGCTTTTACCCTTACTACGAGTCAGGCTACGGAGACCAACATCGCTACGTCAATAAATACATCTAGCTCCCACAATGAATGCCAGCGGTGAGACAAGAGCCGCGCAATCCACCCTCACCTTGCCAGAGATCGTTTCCCTTATTATGAAATGGATTTATCTCGATTGCAAATGCGCGGAGTTCATCTTCTATCCTGTCAACCTAAGACGTCCTCTTCTGAATTGTGGGCTCGTCAATAGCTGCTGGTTTCATCAAGCCATGCACTATCTCTTGAAGCAGCCCCTCTCCGGCGACCTTCCGAAGTTGCTTGAGAAGGTCACTCCACAACGCCGACAATTTCGTCGAGGAAGCACGAATGTGTGTCATAAATGACCATAGAATCCTTCATTACGATGCAATACTACGCTCAATACGATTTCCAAGACTGAACTGTCTATATCTTAGCCTCGAGGGTTGCCATAAAGAAAGCCAGGATTGGGAATGTCGTATCCCTCGATTAGAGTCGTATCACATTAAGACACTGATATTCGACTATTTCTGTGGGATGAAAGATGGACTGACACCGCATGAGATGGATCAGGTCCTTGATCAGATCCCAGTAAGTGCTGGACAATGCCCTCTCAACTGACACTTCCATCGACATAAACTGAGCTACGTGATATCTATTACAGGCTGCCTTGCCTCAAGTGGAAGATATACATTTTGATAAAGAACCTGAGGTCAACAAGGGTGCATTCGAACGATTGACTCAACAACTTCCTGGGCTTAAATATATTGAACATTCAGACTGGTTCGAGTTCTGGGGAAACATGGACTGAGGCGTGGAAAGGCCTGATTATTGCGAGAGTCTCCCGGGTATGGGAGTAGCCCGGGTCCGACAGGATGGCAGACAGATAGGAGTGGTTGAATATACCCATTGGCTACATCATTAGCGATGGAACGACATGGGAGGGAGATTAGAGAAGAAGGGTTTGATGGCGGCCGATGTTGCTGTTGCATCTTGCACAATACTTCATTAAGTCGTCGACACATTATTTGGGTGAATACGGATGGGACAAGCCTTACATGTCCCCTGTGCGCCAGTTGCCAATGGACTCTCCAGTTTCTACTTCATATTCTAGTCTACTTGGTCAAATAATTCTCAGTCTGTATATCAGCGCCATCGCTAGAGTGCCAGGTCCGCTTCCCTGGCGGACGTTTGGCTTCCCTTTCACCCTCAGTTTAACCCACGGCGACCTCTTATGCAGCATCAAACGTCACCACTCACAATAGAACAACGCTATCAGTGCTGCTCCCGACGAGTTCGGATTCATTGACTTCTGTACATACCTATCGCAACACTTGCACCAGGCTGTGAGAATTCGTCCCACGAGAACAAATATTACAAAAGCTAACCATCCAGCAAAACAGCGGCAAACCCGACCCGCCTACTTTTGAGACGGATCATGACCGAGTACGCAAGGCTTTTGCGCTAGGGATATCCGAGTATCAATCATATCGCTCAGCAAGACCCTTTCGTCCAATTGTGTTGCTGTGTAATGTACTCCAGGCGGAAAGCGGCCCGCGTTGAGTGGAATTTGATAACGACGGGTGATCGACCCGATACTGTTTGGAGCGGGGTTGAACACTGGGCCCGGATGTTGCCCCGGGTCCACTGACTGCGACAAGTTCCAGTAACAACTTACTCCCTTACACAGTCAAATGTGGTAGCAACTATACTTACGGATCATATTGAATGGGCGGACGAATATAGTGGGTCCAGTACCCAGGTCTATCTTCTATTCATTTGGATGAGCGGACGATGTGAAGCAAATGTATGCCCGACTTTTATGTCAGAACACTTCACCATGCATGAAATGCATATACTTGATTAATAGAACCTCTTCGGTATAATTTTCACTCTTCCTGCTGGCCCACGGTCAACCAATGAAGGCCTGGAACCCCTCCGCAAGAACCACGTGAGCGGTCCTCCTTCCGTGTGTACCGACACGCAAGAATATAAATTGGAACCATAGCATGCCAAAACCACTACCAGAAGGGCAGAAATTATTACTGACGATTAATATTCACAATGGAGCAATACGACGTGGCGGTTGTCGGACTCGGTGTCCTGGGAAGTGCAGCAGCCTACCAAGCCGCGCAGAAGGGAAAGAGAGTCATCGCATTTGAGCAGTTCGAATTTGGACACGTACACGGCGCCTCACACGACACATCGCGTATTGTTAGAACTTCCAATGCCTTACCTGAATACGTGAAGCTCGCTCAGTCGGCCTATAAAGACTGGGCTGAATTGGAAAAAGCGACCGGCCAAAAGCTGCTTACTATCACCGGCGGCCTGGTTTTCGTCCCTCGGGATAATGCTTCACCATTCGAAAGTTTAATCAAGACTCTGGATGTCACGAACTTACCCCACGAGATTCTGAATGCCACTGAGGTGAAAAAGCGCTGGCCGCAGTTCGACATCCCCGACACGGTCGATGCAGTGTACACAGCCGACACGGGTATAGCCCATGCCTCTAAAACAGTTGCCGCCATGCAGTATTTGGCGCGTTCGAAAGGTGCAGTCCTGAAGGAGAATACCCCTGTCGATCGTGTGACTCCGAAGAAGGCTGGAGGAGTCACTATCCAGACACCGAAGGGAGAGTTCCACGCAGCTAAGGTGATACTCACCACCGATGCGTGGACGAATAAGCTGCTAGCGCCTTTGGGAGTCCATATTCCCCTGTCAGTGATGCAGGAACAAGTAACCTACTTCAAGCCGACTGATCCAGCCGCTTTCCAGCCCGACCGATTCCCCGTATGGATCTGGGGTGGCGATCCAGCTTTCTATGGGTTCCCATCTTACGGCGAGCCGACTATCAAAGCCGGTCGTGATTGGTCGAACAACTTCATGACTCCTGAGCAACGGACCTATGTACCCTCGCCCGAGTTGTTTGAGCAGCTCTCTTCATTCATGGGGGGCTTTATACCCGATAAGGAACGCCAACCGCTTCGCACGGTGACTTGTCAGTATACGATCACACCAGATCGACAGTTCATCATCAGCCCCCTGGAAAACAATAAGGATATAATCGTGGGCTTGGGCGCTGCACATGCCTTTAAGTTTGCCCCTGCGTTTGGTCGCGCGCTGGCTGAACTAGCAATAGACGGAAGGACTAAGGAGGATATTTCAAAGTTTGGGATTCCAAAAGCTGCTTCTTCTAGCAGCAAGCTGTAATGTATTTCATTATCTGCTATTCCCCCCCCCTCTGTTGAAGAAATTGAGCAAGTGAATTTCTAGCCATGAGATTAATGAAATCAATATAAAATTCCACATGTAATAATTCTTGCATAATCATGAACCCCATAACAACCTCCTCAAGAGAACCTCATATCAAGACGGAAGCTGGTCCCTCCTATCGTTCTCCCCATCCGCCCGCTTTTTCATAATCCTATGCCCATACAAAAACCAAATAAACACCCCATCAAGAACAGCACCGCCAACAATATCACCCAGTGTAACCGGAATCACACTCTGGTAAATAAACTTCCCGACGCCAAAGTTCGTGCCGTAGAACATCCCAATCGGCACGAGGAAGAAGTTCGCAATACAATGCTGATAGCCAACTGCAACGAATGTCCATATCGGAATCCAAATGGCGTAGATTTTCGAGACCTTATCTTTGCACGATATTGAGAGAAAGATCGCCAACCCCACGAGCCAATTGCATCCAACCCCTCTTAGAAAGTTCACGGACCATTGCACGTTGACCCGACCCTCGGCTTGCGTGACTGCGAAACTTTTCAGTGTATCTGTGGATAGGGTATCAGACCACCAGCAAAGAAAGCCCGCCACGAATAGGCAGCCAGCTAGGTTGAAGACATAGGATAAGACTAGGTTTCGTAGAAGGTCGAGCCATGTAGTCCTCCGCATGAACGTGGTTAGTATCAATACAAATACATTGGCTGTGAAGAGCTCCGTATTGACGATGGTGAGGATGACGAAGCCGGTTGGAAAGGCAAAACTCGACAACAGTGTAGCAAGCCCAGGATTCTCGGCGCGCAAAGAGGGAGAGCCTCCCGCAACGATTACGCTGAAAAGAGCACCAATAGACAGGAAAGCCCCAGCAAGAAATGACTTGAGAAGTAAGTCTGGCCAGGGTAAACGGGCTTTTGCGACACCTGAGCTGACTAGTAGGTTCAACGTCTCCTTGGTGGGATCGAAACTCGGGTCCATTTTGGCGAGCTGGAGGGACCTCGTGAGAATCACTTCACTTTGGGGTACGATAGCTAGATCTCCACTTAGCAAACTTTTCATGTCATGAAATTGACAATATGTGAGTTATATACTTCTGCTCTATTATTATTTATGGAAAGCTGACATTGCAACGCTGGCACTTCAATGAAATACTAATCATACACAAACAGGCACCAAAAAGCATGTTTAAGTGTAGATATGGAACGAGTATAAATATTTATACCGGCACAGATTCGCAGATCCAAGGACCAGCAAACCTCCCATCAGCCAAAGTATACACCTCCCTAATTTGGATATAGTAATTGACCAGCCGCAGTGCAGAACGATTCAGATCGACGCATCAAGAATCTCGGCAGCATAGCTATCTCCGCGGACCATTAGCAATATGGACTTGAAGTGTGGGCAAGTCAAGCAAACTCGTGTACGTCATTGGTTCGTGGCAAAAGTAAAGTGTGCGCTTCTTCAAAACCATCGCGCGATGGAATGTGGGTTAGGGCCAATAACGATCATCCATAGTTATCCGCTTTTTTTCTTTTGAGTTTGAACACGCCGGTAACTGGGATACCCCCATGAGGATGAATATTAAGCACGAAGATCAATTGTGAATGTTTAAATGTAAATACTATGGAAATTTGACACATCAAAGTTATTTGACCTATCAGTTAGTCCAAGATATACAACCATAAGGTGTCAATAATAGGGCTTCATTGCAATACCTAGGGTATGATTTATATCTACCTCTGGAGTACGAGATTGACCATTTGTGCTATCTCAGCTAATCAGTATACCCACTTAGTTGACATGGCTTTCAGCATCGAGTTATTGTGATTACCCTGCGTTCGTGGAGCCCATTGAACCCCTATGGCTATCGCGTTGTAAACTACACCCTCGTAACCGATTGCGGCTGCCCAAGAAGGTTAGAGTTAAAGAGCGTTGAGTGAAACAATATTTACGATGCTAGACAGATGTCATTAAAATAAACGGCAAGACAAATCTTTATAGAAAGTAACACTGTTCCTGCTAACCAGATCTCGCAGTCTTCAACTGAGAAGTCCATGATTTAGATTATATAACAGATTTGAAGAGAAAGCTCCCAGCTTAACCAGTGGGGTTCGGATCAACCCGTGCTGAGAAACACTGGACCATGGAGGTGTAACCCTAACACCAAGCTCAATTAAGATAACTAGTAGAGCCCCATTGCCCGTCCGTTCAAGACTTCAAATCTTGATTTAGTCTAGCGCCAGGAGAATGCTGAGTCATATGACCCGAATTGGCCAATCTAGGTAATTTTCTGTAGATCAGGTTAACATTGTGTGTATGCGCCACATTGATGAAGATATTTGTGTCTTATCTGTCGTCCGTATATCGTATGTATTTCACGTGGCTTTGACAGCATCAAAACTTAGTAGAGTATGTTTCTTATAATCTTTATTGTAATGAAGTTTCATATCTATAAATTGAGGACTACATTTCTACAACCTCACATCCTCACCCTTAATTACAGGAGCCCGCCAAGGAGAAGCTATACTTAGTTTGAACTTTGATAATCATCCAGAGAGCCTGTTCTACCAATGGCACACACTGCAATGTACAGCCTGATCGAGTAATACGAGGACAAGCACTTGGCGTTCTAAATTCGGGTGTTCTCAAAACCATATAATTTCTTAATCTCCCGTCGGTGGGGACGATAGGATTTTTTTCTCTACCTTGCAGCACCATACTGTGCACAGCAGTATTTATATATTGGACTAGTTTCAATGGTGTCTCACGTGTTTCTCGCCTGGTTCCTCCTTCTGCTTGCCATCTTCCACGGGGAAGTCGTCGCTAGGAGAGGTGGGGGAGGGGGCCATGACAGCGACAGCAACAGTGATAGTAGCAGCGATGGCGACAATGATAGCGGCAGCGGTGGAAGTGACGACAGCTCAAGTTCTTCAGGGTGTGGAAGTGGAGGTACAAGCAATGCACTTAGCACGACATATCTTGTCCCTAGACATGCGTGGAATTGGACATCGCAAAGCGGCGCGTACTCGACCGACAGCCCAACCATATACGACGGGTCATACTTCCAAGGAGAAGGCTACCTGTCATACAATATGACGAGTGGGAATCAATGTCAAAGTACAAAACAACTCCGGTTGCTAGGATATGCATGGATAGGGCCACAGCCTCCATACCCGACTGGACCTAAAAACCCTTTCATCATAGGGTTCAAAGCATGGGAGTCTACCAAGGCTGTGAGCGAAATCCACACATCCTATACACAGATTAAGTGGGAAGGAGACTTGTGCTCTTCAGAGCCTGATCTCTTTGGCATCGTCACAACGAGAGGTTCAGCTTCTCGCACCGAAGCGTCAGACACAATGATCATGAACGTCTCAACTAGTTTGACAGCATCGGATGCTGTCGACTTCAATGCTACAACAGTTGCTGACCTGAGCCCTCGGATCAGTGATTCCGATGGTTTGTTCCGTCTCCAAGCGGAGAGCTGTGCTTCGCATGATACAGATATGCACTGGCCAGCCACGACGGTGATGCAAGGGTCTGTCACGAACACCACTTTGGAGCTCAAGTTTTCTGGTTCGGTTGACATGAATTCAACTCAATATCAATCGTACGCTGGCCGTGATGAGGACTTGAAAGTTAATTTTACGGTTACCTTTTCTGGGCAATTTGACAGCGGCAATTCAACCCACGCCCTGAATCTCCAACAAGGCAACCAGAGTCTTGCGTGGGTAAAGAATAGTGCTGTCAATATTGTGCCCGGTTGTTGGGGCTATATATTGGTAGTCGCTGGTGGAATACACATCTTGGCTTTGAATTTGTGGTAAATAGACTAGATGAAGGTGGTTTATTATGAGATAGCGGTATAACGACCTCATGAGCAACTTCTTGAATTCGACACCAACACCCACTTGAACTGATCATTGGTACTCGGCAGCAAAGCGACATTACACCAAATGACAGGGATAATCAACCACGTGATGGTGCCCTGACATAAAAGGTGGCGTGTCTCTCACCATCGTCATCATCATCATCACCATCTTTCTGAAATTTACCTCGGATTACTCATACCTTCTCAACACCCAAAGCACGGTTTATATTACCTATATCCTTTGAAGAGCCATGCCTCCAAGCTGCGACGATTGCACCTTCAACCAGTATGTACTGTACTGGCTAGTATATTATAGCTGGCACTGGATCCTCATCTGGATCTACGCTTCCTGGTGGGACGAGTCGACAATCAATCATCGTTCAAGACTAGAGCCTCCACCAAGCGCAATCTCGTGGCTCGAAAAGAAAGGATATCTGCATACAAAGAAAGATGCACGCCGTCTTTTCTTTATTCATCTTATTCTCTTGGTTTTGGAGCCTGTAGAAGGATACTGGATCTTGACGGAATTCTATCGGATATTGTTACTGGCATGGAGGACGGTGCCAGATCCCCATGATATCCAGGGAAATTTCGGTCGATATATATGTTTGGTCGTTTTCCCTGTAGGATTAGTCGTGTCCTCCCTGGTAGGAGTGATCTTGATGGTATCTACTGTGGAACATCTACGGGAATTGTGGTCCTGGGCACCGGTCGATGACCAAAGAACGGATGAGGAAAATGGAAAAAGACATTAAGAGTGGCGGAGATAGGGTTTGGGATTTAGCAGCAGGCATCTTTGTTTGCCTTGGCTATTTTGCTTTATCCACTGGGCTTTCATCAGCAACGAAAGGATTCCACTATATTAACAGCTAGACTTCTTCTTCCTCAGTCGATACAGTCGTTTGCATTGAACCCTTTTTTTATTTTTCTATTTTTATTTTACTTTTTTACAGTATGAAACATCACTCTCTTATCACTATACTTTACTTCTGTCGGGTTTCTATGTATTAGATCGCCCCCCTGACCACCTTAACTTTATGTCATCATTGCCGTATACAGCAAATCGTTTGGAAAATAAAGTCGGTTGATCTATTTCTTTACGGTATACTTCTAAGTAGTTTTCACCCTAGTTGTGTGGATCTTGGAACATCGTATAGGAACATTGATGCCTGCTTGGCTATAGTAATATAAAGAGTATTGAATCTGATTGGCAGCTGTACATCAGTCTCGCTATATGTGTTAAAGAATCTGGATATTGATAGTTGTTGTGTATCTGTAGCAGTTGGGATGGATTGAAGCTCAGGACCAAGTTCGTAGATCCAGCCGTCGATCGTTATACTGAGAAACCCACTGTAGACTAAGGTAGGCTATCTGGCCATCGACTATAGTGGTAAGAATCCATATCAATGGTGACGCTGCACAGGGTGTGGAGAACAGGGAGAGTCTTTCACTCTACCCAGTTGGCGATGACGAATATTAACCACAGGGCATATATCCAGTCTACCATCCCTAATACGTTTCCCCCGGCTAATTGGAAGGAGATGCCCCCAGAAGGGAAAGAAGCGAGGCCTGAGTAGAGGAATACACACGCTGCAGTGCGGGTTTGGACAGCCTGCGGGTTTCGGGGTTGCGGGTTTCGCTCAATTCCGCAAGCACCAAATCCACAGAGCATTGGCCTGACTCAACTGGTACTATAAATGACAGTAAATATCTTCCACCTTTTTCTCCCCCTCCTCTGACTCCCATTCAATAGAGTCACCAAGGTCAACGTCCATAGTTACAACTTCAAACATTTGAAGACGACATTTTTGGTTTCCAACTGATAAGGAAAATGTCATCCCACGGAACCGCGTCTTCAGACAGAACACAAACCCAAAATGTCCATGATGGACATAAAGAAAATAGTATTTGCAAGCCAGAGCTTGATGCTGATCCCGAAAGGAATGCGGCACCTAGCCCGAACTCGCAGGAGGAGTGGGTAACTGGATTCAAACTTTTCAATATCATCACTGCCGTCGCACTCGTATGCCTTCTGATGCTGTTGGATACGTCAATTGTTTCGACGGTTAGTCAACACAGATAAATCGAAGTGCGACTCTTTGCTAATCAGGAAAACCAGGCAATTCCTCGGATCACGAGCGAATTTCATTCTCTTGCTGATGTCGGTTGGTATGGGAGCGCATATCAACTTGCCAGGTGTGTACTATTCTCAGATTATATTTCTTCATGTGTAGACTAATTCTTTAAAGTGCGGCTATTCAACCTCTCACCGGCAGAGTCTATATGAACCTTAGCACAAAGGTAACCCTCTCCATTTTCTTTTCACCACTGTATCTCTTTTCTCTGATAACCCAACCCTTTCGATAGTGGACCTTTGTTGGTTTCTTTTTTGTATTTGAGCTGGGTTCTCTAATATGTGCTATCTCTACCTCGTCAAAAATGTTGATTGTTGGACGAGCCATCGCTGGAATGGGGGGCTCGGGAATCTTGAATGGAGCTTTCACGATAGTTTCTGGATGCGTACCCATGTCTAAGCGCCCCACAATGATAGGTCTTGTTATGGGAGGTAAGCGCACATCTATCCTGGGCCTGTTGTATCCATATTAATTCACATTGAAGTTTCGCAGGTGGGCTTAGCAGCTGGACCACTGATTGGAGGTGCATTGACGGAGTATACATCATGGCGGTGGTGTACGTTCAGAAAGCATATGGAAGGAGAATCTCAGGCTAACACTTACAACACAGGCTTCTACATCAATCTTCCAGTTGGAGGCTTAGTTGCAATCATGCTCGCCTTTGTCAAGATACCCGAGATTCTTCCTAAACAGAAATTCACCACCGCTATCCGAGTCTTACCAGGTCAGCTGGATCTTATTGGCTTTGCTCTGTTTGCCCCATCTGCAATCCAACTACTGCTCGCGCTTCAGTATGGTGGTAATCAATTTACTTGGCATAGCTCCCAGGTGATTGGTCTTTTCTGCGGAGCCGGTGCCACGTTTTTTGCTTTTCTTATTTGGGATTACAGACAAGGGGATAAGGGTATGATACCATTTTCGATGATTCGCAAAAGGATCATATGGTCAAGCAGCCTATCCTATGGACTACTCATGGCTCAGGTCTTTTGTGTGTTATGGTATCTTCCTCAGTATTTCCAGGGGGTAAAACACGACAGTCCATTGATGAGCGGTGTCCATCTTCTCCCCAGTATTCTTGCTCATTTATGCGGCGCCGTTATTTCGGGCAAGATTAGTAAGGTTCAAGCTCTTTTCACCCCATGTACGTTTGTTGACATTGTGCCTAGTTGAAAGAGCTGGCTACTACCTCCCCATAATGCTTATTTCTGCCTCACTCACGGCGGTGTCCAATGGTCTGCTGTCAACGTTGTCGCCCCATACATCAACAGGGAAATGGATCGGATATCAGATCCTTCTCGGAGCATCTCGTAGCCTAGGCGTGCAGATAGTAAGTCCGAGAAAGACATAATGTTTCTTGCGAAAACGGATAACGCTAACTTTCATCCAAGCCCGTTATTGCGGTTCAGAATGCCCTTCCGCCTTCACAGATCCCTGTAGCCACTGCACTAATGATGTTCAGTCAAACCCTCGCAGGTGCCTTATTTCTCAGCTTCTCAGACACTATATTCACCAATAGCCTTTCAAAACTGATTCCCACATATGTCCCTTCTGTGGATCCTCAGACAATTATCCATGCAGGAGCCACCGAGTTTCGCTCATATGTCTCTGAGCCGCAGCTAGCGGGAGTAGTTCTGGTCTACGCGAAGAGTGTCGATCGAGTCCTATATTTGACGACGGGGACGGCTTGCGGATGCTTTTTCTTTTCTTGCTTTATGGGCTGGAAGGATATTCGGAAGAAGGAGGTAGTTTCGAAGGCTTGATTCTGTCAATTCATTCTGTTCACAACTTTATCTGAATTCGTGGTGAAAGGGTATATAAATGTCACAGATAACGCTTCCCCACCCGCATTACCAGGCTCTTGTTATCAGTTGTTCAAATTAGAGATAAGCCAATATCACAAGACGTCCAGTTTCACTGGCTCCAGGCTAAGATACACATTCTTTTCGATTATTTCTCACCATAATCCAGACCGGTCTCAATAGCATGTGCACGTGATTTGAGTCACGAGCGCGGAAGATCATAGATCCGATCTGACGTGAATAAGTTCGAGGAAAGGATGCGGTATAAAGTCTTCCAACGTAGCTTTTGAGGGGGAACTCCTCTTGCTCGCCATGGATTCAAACCCCCTGTCGGTAGCCGGCAAGCCAGCTGCATATGGCTATTCTTGCGCCACCTGCGCCCAGTCCAAGCGCAAATGCGTTGTTCGCGCCGCGGGCGGGCCGTGCCAACGGTGGGCCGAATACCCTAATTATAAAAGCATTGAGACTGACCTCACCAGGTGCCATCAAACGAACAAAGAATGTACACCAGCAAAGACGGTACGACGGCGAGGCATTACGAAAAAGCCTGCCTCTACCTCTAAAGCAAATCGACTCGAAGAAAAGATAGATGGCCTCGTATCTCTGATGAATGATGCCAAGGCCTTTTCAAAGCTCGGCATCAACCAGAAGAATGATCTGGTACCAACTTCAGAACATGGATACCCCTTAAACCACCCTGATGCAGATCAAAGTAACACATGTACACCAGCTACGATAGGCTCGATATGCTCACCGGGCATAAGTGGTCTCTCCTCACATGAGTCAGAAGAATGCCTCAATCACTTCCGGACATTTAAGTTACAATATTTTCCATTCGTTCACATTCCCTCCGAAAAGAGTGCTGTGCAACTTCGCAAAGAGCGACCTTTTCTTTGGCTTTGTGTCATGGCCATCAGCACCAAGTCTACCGCTCATCAGCATGAACTTGGTCTTAGAATACGTCAAATAGTAGCACAGGAGATGGTAGTTCAGTCTGATAAAAGTATTGATCTTTTATTAGGACTGCTAACATTTATTGGCTGGTAAGATGGCCATATCAATATCTGAAGAAGTACATATTCTGACTCTTGAGCAAAAGGGCGAGCTATCAGTTCCACCAATTCCACCCAAAGCCTTTTCTATCTGTCTTCACACATCTTGCGACATCATTGGTCTTTGATCTTGGTCTGAACAAACCAGTCCAAGTAATGACACCGACCTTCAATCTTAACCAGTGCCCGCGACCTTCCACACCTCGTACTATGGAAGAGCGCAGAGCAGCACTGGGTTGCTACCTGGTGACATCGATGTATGTTGAATATATTTTCAGGATGATACAGATAGTTATTAACCGATCAGAACAGAATATCTTCATTTTTTCAACAGATTGAAACATTTCGATGGACACCACATTTGGAGGAATCCCTGCGAATTCTAGACGAACAAAAGCAATGTGCCAACGATGAGATCCTAGTCCAACTGGTTCGAATGCGTCTCATAGTTGAGAAAAACAGAGCTCGGTGGGCATGGTTGAATGATACATCCGAAGCTGTTGGACTCGCTGAAGACGCGACCGCACTGCTCTCTGACGTGAAGAAAGAAATATTCAAATCTTCAGCGAAAGACGGTACGCACTTTACGCCTTATATTTACATTTCACCCGAAGCTGACTCCCCAGCCAGTGGTTTTACTCCATCTTTATAGTAATGAGCTCGAAATCACCGTCTCCTTTTTATCGTTCAGTCCTAGCGATGTCAAAGCATCCCGACAAGACCATCTTTTCCAGGCTCTCACGTCAATCAGTTCATGGTTTAATATTTTTTTAATGATGCCCCCAGCTGAATATGTTTCGTTCACTTTCGCCATTCTCTCCCAGATCTCTCGCTGCCTTGTCACCCTCTACCGCCTTGCAACACTCGATGCTCCAAACTGGGATAAGCATCGTGCTCAACAGACTGCAAATCCTCTTTCTATTTTGGATCGACTCGTCAATGTCCTAGAGCAAGTTCCTGTCGTTGTTGGCATTGATAATAGCAGTTATCCTAATGGGGACTTATTTTCTCGGTCTGCCGAGATTCTTCGATCTGTTCGCCCTGGATGGGAAGCGAAGCTCGGCTCCGACAATATGGTCTCTGTTGAGCCTTTTCCACACGATATCAATGGGATTCATATGCCAGATCCTTCATTCTTTGGAGATGATAGCCTCTTTGATAGCTGGTTTATGGAGCTTATGTCTTCGACTTTTTAATCCTGATCCTTACATTTGAGACCGGCGCTCTTCGTACAGGTCGGTTTCTTCAAGTCGTATTATGACATGTCTCCAATTCCGTGGTTTTTGAATCACCCCAATCATCTAGTCAGCATACAAAGAAGGATTGTGAAGTTCAACCTATTTTAAATCTGTTCTTTTTGAATATTGAATATAGTCACTGCCCACTCTACATATAACAGACTTATTATATAGAACTAAATAGTTTAGATAGTAATTGATTCAATAAATCATCATAGTAAACTCACTATAGCGCCATCGACATATTCTGTATCCCCAACATATTATTTAGCTGCCGGGCTGTCTTGAAGTATCGTGGGAATGACATCCGCCCTCACTCTCCTAAAAAGGCCATTAACCATGGCCACAAACATATCGACAAAACCACATTGATGCAGAACCATCCTATTACCCAGATAAAGGCACAAACATATAGACCAGCTTTCGTTTCAACAACCATTAATCCTCTTAAACACCAATTGCCCTTCAGGCGGATTACCCGTTATATTGAACTTGTCAGCTACATCGTACCTCCCACCAACGAGTTCCAACCGCGTATCCGCAAGCAGTGCAAAAACCGCCAATTTGATTTCTGCACAGCAAGGTCAGCATTTCCTGTCCCCACTGGACTCTAAAGTTCTTCAGGACGTACCTGCAACTGCCAGAAACCTCCCCGGGCAAGCCCACCTGCCCAACCCGAATGAAAGATGGCCGGGATCAGTAGTGGAAGCCGCTTTCTGCTTCTCTACCCACCGCATCCCATCGAATCTCTTCGGATCACCTTCATTATAACGCGGGGACCGATTGGATAATGATACCAGTGGTAAGATGAGGGACCCTACCCCCCTGTCTTAGTAGCCTATATGTGGAGAGTGTATGTATCAATGTACCTTTGGGGACGATGTAGTCTCCTAATTGGACATCCTTGCGCGCCATCCGTACCAGGTTTACGGCGTCACCTTTCATCCGGAGGACTTCACGGATAAAGGAGTCCGTGCGTAAAGCCTTCCTGAGCGTTCGCATGTCGAGCTCGGAGATAGGGATCTGTGAAGTGTCACGGCTGGTGAGATCGTGGATTTCCCGTCGTATGATGTCTTGATATTCGGAGTGCAGTGCTAACTGGAATATGGTCCACATTGTGATTGAGACACTGTTTTTTATCGATTAGCGTATGTAAAGGCAAAGGTGTGGGGGACTCACGTCTGATGCACAGAGGCAAAGATAAACATGACAACTAGTCCGAATATCCAAAGCCGGGATCTGAAGGTTATGTGGCCGTCCATGGCCTCACTTGTTTGAACTAGGATTCGAAGTAGAGATACCTTGATGTTGGAAAGTTAGTCTATGCCGCAAGAGATGATGAATATTGTCATAAAAGTGATTCTTACATTCTGGTTAGGGGGCTTCTTGTTGGAATCCTGTAATGCGACCGATATCTGCTTCCATATAAGAGGTCCAAAGGCGAACCCGAACCGAATGACGACAGTGTATATCACAACCTTTATCCTGGTCCGGGGGTTACTTATGTCGGTGACCAAAGTGAGTTTCTTAAAACGTACCATGTTACTATTTGCCAAAGGACAGGAAAATATTGGGCTAGCATCGAGCGGCTCCGAAAGGTCCCTATCAGTTCTGCAACGCCCTCTGCGGTGTCAACTACGGTGTCTCTGTCGAACGATGGTAATAGCTCCTTTAGATGATAGTTAGCCTCAGTGAAGTAAAGTGTCGGGGTGAGGTACATTCATCGCTAAGAATTATTGTCATCATTGCCTCTGCGACTGTTCTCTGCAGGTGAGGCAGCAAGTTAACAGGACCTCCAGAATGGCACTTCAAGATCTCGGCTGCATTTCTTTCGAAGATAGGGGACACTACCTCGGGATTAGATTAGGACAGATAGGTAATCATGAAATACCCTACCACGATGGATCATCGTGTCCAAATGTTTTGTCAATAGAGTGTTAACCGCAGAGTCGATATCCTGGAAAATGGAATTGCCGAACAATTTGGGTAGAAATTCAAGATTCAAGATCTAGGGAACATTTAGCAATAGTGGTTATCTTGTGATTAACTTGGATGCAGTGTATAAAATAAGCCAACCTTCGCTGTCCCAAGCTCGAAGCTAAACGTTGCATCCTCTGTTAGGACCCTTGGGGTTAATTCATCGGACACGATGTATTCAACCTGTAGGACTGTTAGTATTTGAAGGTACATATGAGTATTACCTATTAAGGAATGAACATACTCTCCCATCTCTATGCAACCCAATCACTGGACCATGTTGTTTAATTTGCCTTTCCAATGCTTCGACGGGGCCGTTCTTCCTCTCATCCCGCTATAGGAAGGTTATACAAGCACAGGCAATAGACGGGGGAAAACACGGACTGTAAGCGATATGATTGGTGGTGTGCGAGGCAAAGGACGCTGAGCGATGTCAACGACCGTAGTATCACAAGAGAACCAATAGTGCAAACCTTCAGGTACCTCAACCAGGCACACCCTCCCACAGCAAAGGCTATGAGAAAGGTAATACTCGGGATCTCGAGACCTAGACTCATTCCTGCGGATTTGAATCCTGCTAAACATTTACGGTAGGCCGGTCCTTTTGTATTTAACGTGGCTAAGTCAAGGTACACACAGGACAGTATATATTATTGAATCACACGTCACCTGCTGGCCTTGGCTAAGATTCTTTTGAAGAGTATGTAACCTCGTACAAGGATTATGCCTTCTACACTGATGACTATGTGCGAACTGTGAGATTGCTATTGGTGACTTTTAAGGCAACTCGGATCCATGCTGGAGGCCTAACCTTCTCTTGGTAGACCAAGGTGAGTTACTCTTCTGCTTGCTATATACCCCTTAGGAATCAAGATATATAGAATAATGTATAGTAAAAGTAAACTTTTTATAAGCAATCCGGCGGTCAGCGAGAACTTAAATCTTACGCACTGCATTTGCTTATCAGCCTTGTGGGTAAAAAGTAAAGATCGTCCCTCGATACATCAGGCTCGAATAGGATTTTGAACCGCATAGAGCTTACTCTGTTGAGGTAGACACTATATGTCGGGCTCTTAGTCGTGGTGTAGCCAAGGGCTATACGCGCCAACGGCTAGGTCAGAGGGCAACAGCAAGCTAGAAATAACCATTTTCGATATTTTCTTCCAATACAAGACATTCCTGAGAATACGGAAGACACAAGAACAAACAAAATTCTTGTAGCTTCTTACTGCTTCTTACTGTATAGCGGATCGGAGCAGGATAGTTATCAATTGGTCAAGGCCACCCATCTCTGCCTATGTGGCCAATGAGGCACGCATATCAGATGCGGTACGACACGACCACGTCACGAAAGTGGGCTACTTGACTCGATAGTTGTTGTAGGCTTCTGAGTACGTCATAGCTTAGGTGAGATTTGGGAAAAGATAACGTGTAATGCTTGACCAGATCAGAAGATGGTCGTCTAGCAGACGAAGAGACCGCATGTTTGACCCTTTTTCTTTCCAAGGCCCACCACGTTCGTGTTGATTATTTAAGCAATTATTCTCAGGGTAATTTAACATGCAGAGCCGCGATAAATGGCAAAAAGCAGGACTTGGTTTAATTCTAGCTATTCGAGAATCTAAGGCTTGTAGAATGGTCGTGGCTGTTGGTCATTGGTTATTTGATATCCATTGTTGAATCAGATTCCTAGCGACTACTTCATTGGATAACTATATTGCAAGATGAAAGGCCATGGCTCATGTGCTACCGTGTTTTCATTAAGTTAATGAGCTTCGGAGCAGAGTCTATATATCTTCCCTTAAGGTATTCTATAGTATTTAAGATAGGATATATAACGCCCATGGCCTTGTCACAGGTGTGTACATCCTCCATCAAGCACGAGAATATTGATGCATTTACACAAAGTGACTCTCTGCTGGCGCTAATGTATTCTAGGAGTATTCGGGTTACTCTTGATCCACGCTATACGATTTTCCATGTTGTATCCAAAATACATAGACATGCTCATCAATAAATACACACAAAATAAATAGATAAAACTCAAATCAGGTTATTTGACGATAGTCTTTCAAAATGCAATCGGTCGCATGGTACAACGTTATATTGGTCGACTTGAAAACGCGCGCCTAAAGAAGGAAACATTTCTCCTAAACTCCCAGTGGTCGCATATATTAGTCACAGAGCATTAGTGACCAGACTATGCACTTTGAGAGCATCCGATTCTGGTAATCCGATTAGGAAGTCTCGCGTTATACGCATGCTCTCTGGTGGTGTGTTGTGGATCTCAAGGTCGAAGCGACGAACTAAGGCAGCGAACATCTGGTACAGCTCAGAGTACGCTAGGCTGTGAACGTCAGTTTTATGTGATAACCATTAATGACTTGGGGGGGGGGAATTTACTTCATTCCCAGGCAAATTCTGGAGCCTTTTGAGAAAGGAACCAAGAATTTGGTCAGTCGTTCACCCTTGCTCGATGCTTCAAGCCACCGTTCAGGATTGAAGGCTTCTGGGTTAGGGAAGATAGTCGGGTCCATGTGCATGAAATATATTGACTGGCTGACTGGTGTCTAAACAACTCATGTTAGATCACACCAGTTCCACGGACCCTAGGCGGCTTACCCCTGGAGGAATGATATAGTCCTTATATGCCAGTGCTGTTGGTGAAATCCGCGGCAATCGTATCGTTACGCTATGCGCCATGCGGAGAGACTCGTTTAGAACCGCGGTCTGGGGCATATGTTATCAGTATTCCCAATCAATACTCTCGAGCTATTTTGAAAGAGACATACTAGATATGGCAAGGATTCCAGTTGAGCCAGAGAGGCGTGGCCGGTCGAGTCCAACCTGACCGTCTTTAGCTCCGCTCGTAATTTCTCTAAACGTGGTTCATCTCGGTAGAGGTAGTAGGACCCGGTTGTCAACACTCTTGCCGTCGTCTCCGTGCCTGCACCGAAAATAACCATCGCCTCATCCCGGACCCTTGGAACCGTCCTTTCCTCTGGTCGCACTGACTCGGCACAGAGGGCATCAAAAATTGTTTTCCTCGAATTGGCATCCTTCCCCTCGTCTTTTTGCAGGGCAGATTCGGCCATCTGTTCTATCATGCGTTTAGCTTCCCACAGTCCCTTTGAACTCGGCTGCGCCCATTCTACCAGCCCTGGGACGGCATCCGCAACCATCTGCACGAAGAAGAAGAAACGTGCGAAGTGACACAGGAATCCCGCAGAAGCAACGGCGTCTCGGAACTCATTTTTCAGATCCTTTGTATCTAGAACCCTCAGACTCTCCCCGTATGCATAGTGGGAGATAACATCTGCCGTTAAAGCAGCGAATAAGTCGTCCAAAGAGACCACGCTTCCTGTTTCGTGCGCTTGCGTGAGTCGCTGGCATACTTTCTCGACTTTATCCTGGACAATATGATCCATGCTCATTACGGACCGCTTTGAGAAGAATGGGTTCATTAATTCTCGACGGTAGCGGTGACGATCATGTTCGACTGTGGCGGCAGTAGACAAGGGAGTAGCAAATGTTCTGACTATATACGGATCTTTCGCCTGCCCTTTTGAGGTATAGATAGGATCAAAATAATATGGATCCTTGATATGAAGCTCACGGGGATTGATTCTCACGATGGGGCCTTTTCATTTCGTTGTTAGACATGTGTATAGCTAAAAGAACTCCTGACCGAGGTACCTACCATATTGATCGTGCATTCTCTGAATCTCCCAGAGATACTTCCCGCCTTTGACGACATCGTAGTAGAATTCATACAGATGTGTCAGGGCAGCTAGCTTTGGCCCAGGGAATTTGCTGAGAGGGTGAAAGTAAAGGCGATAGATGCTCCTGACGACCAGGTAGCTGAGGGTAGTAAACAACCCGATCCAAAACAAGGGTAGAGTCATGGTGTTGCACCGTGGCTAGCGGACGGATTCTTCTGGCCTCCAGTATGAATCTCAGAAACGAAACACGACCGGCCCACCACCCATATGTGGCTTCTTATAAACAAGCATATGTCGTGCGGGGTTTGCCAACTAGTACGTTTACTATCAAAAGTTCCACCTGACAGATTACCCCATGGCCAAGACGCTATAGCACTGCATGCATGATTTCACCTTCTAGCTGTAATGTCTCCTCTCGCCATTGGTCTGTCGGAGGAGCTACCTGGTCTTAGTAATGTGTCCGGAGTGGTTGGTTTCCTGTGATTTCTGCATCTCCATGTCACCTTATCACATCAAATTATCTAAGAAGTCTGGTGCTCGTTCCAGCCTTTGGTTCGATTTCATGGTTACAGGCAATGATCCACGACAATGGCCAATACCGGTGCTTGGAGAAATGTCATGAGACAATCTAATTTATAGTGACGGTTTAGATCAGCCACCCATGAACCAACCACCTTAGAAACAGGGTTTCAGAATGGCAGTAAACCATACTAAGAACTAAGCTTCATACCGGAACGAATAGTGCTGACTCAATAAAGATTATAAGACTCCACAATTGCCACTTATTCTTTCCCTTTTTTTTTTTTTTTTTTTACTCTTTATGAGATTATCAATGAAGCACAGAAAACGTATATTAAATAGTCTGATATGATAAATCAACCTTGCTTATCACTACGCGTATGACTACCTTGTAGCTGTTAGCTTGCCCCTGTAGGTCTAAGGGCCTCGTTGGCTTAGTACTGCCTAGAAATAGATACCTTTGAGCCACTCGGAAGTTTACTACATTATATCCAGCAGCCTCTTCATAATCCAATTCCTCGTTCGTCTTCCGCAGCACGGGACTAAAGCGGCAGTATCTGTTGGTGGTTAACCCAGGCATTCCGCACACACGTCCCATCCAGCATTTTCTACTCCAGATGCGCCGATGCGCCCATCACGTCTTGCTGGCCCACATCTCGCTCTAACTAGTCTAAGTGCTCTTCCTCGATCTCCTCCGCTAGAGTCCCTTCGCGCCAGTGCTTGAAATCATGTTTGATATCGCGCTCGCAGTCCGTGTGTTTGGGGTCAGACTTGAATATGATTTCGGCCGATCAGCAAGTGCACCGAATGTAGAAGCGGTATATTGGGATGGAATGGTAGTTCTACTCAGTCTTTTCTTGTATTCGCCACACCTGTCGCATCGCCTAGAAAATGAGCTCATTAAACAGACGGTTTGAAGTACCGTAACAACATACTCGGCTATATTTGGTGGCTAGTCTAGCTGGGAACGAAGTCTGGCGAGGCGTAGGAGGGGATGATGATACGTGGTGTGGAGTACTTGGTGAGTAACCTTTTATTCTCACATATTGTATGTAGATTTCTTTTCAGAATACGGGGGACAAAAGGGGGCTTAAGGGGAGATATCGTAGCCCAGGGATGAACAAACCCCGGAGTCGGAAGGGCTCGCATTGTAAAATCGTCGAAATGGTCGGTTCATTGACCTCAAACTTGTTTGTTCGTCGATGTCGACGCGATCGTTAAAACCCACGTTACCTAATTCTGGCGCTAATCCTGTAATATCTTAATATATATCCTGAGGCATCAAGGCAAACCGCATGTCACAGTTCGCTTCTATCATACATCACTACCTTACTATGCACTATTGTCTAGGATATACCGGATCCACTTGTCTACATATCTTCTATATCTTTTTTAGATACTAGTTGTTCCGAGAGATAACGGATCGCTCGTATATATTAATACTAATACCTAGTTTCTCGATTCTCCTTCAATAGCACGTTTCCCCTTGCATATAGTCAACTTCGCCCAGCAAGACAAATGCCACATAGGGCTATGAACATGTGCCTCCAGTGAATATCCCTGGAGCGGTTTACCCCAGATCAACAGGTTTCTGAGCTCAATCGGCTTTTAAGAGACACTAAAACAAACCTGCAAAATGCTTTCGTCTATTGATAATTCCGCCCACTGTGCCGTGTTCTTGCAACACATCGCTGGTATGGCTTGACCTTAGGCCAAGGATCCACACCACACTTGCCTAGCAGCCTTTGTACTATATACTATATTTTTGTCGCCTACCATTTCGATGCTGTTGGGAGTCTAGGATTTAGTTTTAGTGGTGGGTCTCTAGCACATGTATGTCTATGCTAGCAACATCATAATCTAGAAAAGTGGTCATTTTAATACCAAAAGCTAACATAATGTCTCCAAACCAATTTACTGCTAAGCCAGATAACAACATCTGTGCGGATTATTCGAGCAAATGGCCCGGTGGTAAGAGTTGATTGAGGAATCCGGAGAAGTCGCGTCGAATCCCCGAACTTGGTCAGGTTGCGACCCTATAGTAGGGGCTTCGGAGACTATCTGGGCGGCCCGCCTGTCTTGGTGCTTGACCGCTTGACATTTGCAATTTGGCTATAGCGTATGCTAGTTATATAGGTAGTATTGGAAGGTACGCTCGCCGCTTTTTTACTACACCAAAATTTTGAAATTTCTACGATAATAAAAAAAAATTAAATTATGGCAGTTGTGGAAATCGACGCTACAGTTCTTCACAAACTGGGGATAAGCTATGAAAGAATTGAGAGTAAAATGCACTAGCCTTAAATCAATCCATTCCAAACCGTCGGATCTTCCTTTCTGAAATTAAGCTAAACTGTTAAAAGTTTACGTTTCGGTCAGCACTGCAAAGAACCAATAGCAGAACCGGATTACCGCTTGCGGCATGCCAGCCAGAGAGTCGGTAAGCAATTCTGCACCCTTTTTTAAGCAAGGAGGTGACAGCATGAAATCCTGGAACGAATCTACTATGTAGGTAGTTCTGGGTACTGGAATGAGACAGTAACAGCACAAAGTCCCATTAAGGAACATAAGCCCACAGGAAAAGGAAAATTTGATAGCTTTTTTTCTGGCAGGCTTATACATACTTCAAAGCATTGAATGCATAGAAGTTGGGTTTTGCCGCCTTCGCGTGCTTTGCTATTTATACCGTATTTATGCCCATTTCACCAAGGGTCCACAAAGTCTATGCTCGGCATGTCAGCACTGGGAAAGGTTCACTCAAAAGGTTCGCAGAGCGACCCAGCCTGGGAGGCCTTTTTCACTAAACATGAATATAGCCAGCACTTCTTAGCTTCATGGGAGCTGGGAGGACCCATCGATATCTTCTGATCTCGGCTCCCTTGGTCATGTGAAGACAGTTATTGTTGTCGGCCTTCTTGTTGTATATTTTAGCATGGAGGCAATTAATCTAGAGAATTGAGTAGGTTATACTTGAGTAACTTGACTTGTGTACTAACTACATGTCTAAACGTCCCTTTCATACTTGGTCTCTTTTCTTGTCCGTGATGTTAAATTCACCATCATGCAAAGACATTTACATTTGTGTTGTCACTTGTCAGAGGGTTCACATATTAAGAGTCTATGCTTACTCTGGGGTATCTCTTAAGTGAATTGAAAAGGAGCGGGAAGATGCATATTCACTGTCATCGCCTCTTTGTTATTCTTTGTCTTTGTTTCATATTCCTGCTGTTGTCGTTTGCATCAAACCAGATAAACTAGCCCACTCTCTTCGTTTTCTGTCTTCTACACTTTCCGTCTCTTTATTTATTTATTTTTTTCCTCCCATCTCACTCATCACTCTCTCCCAAACTGTCTGGTTGAGTGCTCTCGAATAACCTCCTACTTTGACATCTCAAACGTCTCAGTCACATCCCCAGTGGTCAAGCCTTCGAAAGCTGCTCGCGTAGTGAACCCACCTTTCTCGATTATTTCCCAAGAATACCACCATGGGTCGCTGGGGTTGGCGTAAGCCTTGCCACCACTACGGTCACCTTTCCTTAGAGCTACAGTCTAATTAACCCCTATTCATCGCTAGGTCTTTTCGAAGGCGATCAGGATATGGATGAGGCCTGTTGCCTGGCAGGATCCCTGGGGTTCCAAACCGACGACTGGGAGCACACCATGAGCTCAATGGTGCACCAGATTGATATGCTGGCTGGCCAGGCGGCACGTGCGTTCTACAGAACGGAGGAGTACAGACGGGAGCTGCAGAACCAAATCGTGCCCTACGTCTGCGAGAAATTCGACACCGATAACTTTGGCGACAGGCTCTTTGCTGCTTCTCGTGCCCAGGAGGATGACCGGGTAATCCCTTATACAAAGTACAGGACCGTCATCCTGGGCGCGCTCATGATGCGTGCTGGGGCCAGAATCAGGGCTGAGGATCTCCAGCACTTGAAGGATCTGGTGCCGCAGATTCATTGCAACTCACGGTTTGCGTTGCCAATCTGCGACGAAGGATTCCGTAGTCCCGGTCGAGCTCAGTTTCTCGCGGCTCTAGACCATTACCAGGCTGGTGTGCCACGCAACTATCAGGAGCCAAGGTAAGGTTTACTCTTTCGATACGGCCTGAGCATATGAAATTTTACTCTAATAACATTATTCCAGCTGCTTTCAGTGCGGACAGGTCAGGGATGATATCGGACACGGCCTAGTCCAGTGCGCCACATGCCGTGTTGCCTACTACTGTGACAGGGTAAGAACACAGTCTGCTCCAATCTTTGTTTTGGAATTCTATTGCTAATGTTGTGTAGGAGTGCCAGCGCCGCCATTGGCAGGAGCACAAAGCCAGCTGCGTTCGCCCTGAGGAGCGCAGGATGGTTAATGTGTAGATCAGATCTTTCCTCATTGGTAGCATTTCATGTCTGCAGCTGGACAACAGCAGTCTAGCCATGGTTTAGATGCTGGTTCTGTGCCACCTGGGTGGTTTCTTTCACTTCTGTGGCTCTACCGCGTGTTTTCTGCTGGTGATACACGGGCTATTCTGGCGCTTATCTGATTGTATCATGTTGTTTCCAATCTTTCATAGTCCTTTTATCATATTGAACCGTTAAGTCCCCTTATTTGAGGCAATCTGACTTCTGATCTAAACCCAACCGACTGCATCGTAGTAAGCTATGATCGACTTCCTTCCCAGAGAGTTTTAAGAGCCACAACTGCTGTGCAGAACTTCAAGCATTAGGCCCAACTGAAGATAATATAAAGTGATCAGTCCCCTACATACTGAAATAACAAAGATCGCATTCTGGTCCAACGAAGAACGCCACTTGCGCTACGCGTAATAACCTGACAGGTTTCTCGGTGCCCCAAACATTATCTGATCGGAATTGTACTTATCCAAAGAAAAGGTTTTTATAAACAGGAGCACCCATCGAGCCCACAGCACATGGCAAACGATCACAGCGATGCCACTAGATTCAGAATTTACGTGCTTTCAACATATTAGTTCTGAAGAGGCGCGTTTTATCTATTTTGCAATTGCCCAACGCGAGTGTCAGAATGAAATACCAGACCGTCTGTACTTCATTGCAAAACCCGAGTCATCCCATCCTGTCTGGAATAATTCCCCTCCACTAAGTCAGGCCACCCATCAACTCGATAGTACCAGCGCCAATCCGGCTAGAGCCCACCAGGGGTAAGACCAATCCATCTTCTATATCCTCCCTAGATAGTCCCCAATCTTAGAGAATCAGGTAGGGTTTGGGCAGGACCTCAACGTTACTTCATAATAGAAGGAGGTACTAGAGTGTACATTAAAAGATTCTATGATTCTATATAACATTGGATGATTACATCTATAGGTTTTCTAACCACATCTGTGATTTGCATGAGGTGAAATGACCTTACCCAAACAACAGCCTTCAACAAGACTATTATCAAGCTGAGGATTACTCACCCCTACCTACTCTGAGCAGTATCCCAAGTCACCTAATTCCCTGGGTAGGGTTCTATCTCCCTTCACCTCCGGAGGTTACGTGGCTTTTCGAGAATTATACGAGAAGAGCCCATTCGTATCCAGTGTATTTGATCTGCACAACTCTTGGTACCGACTGGGGTATTTGGAATACAAACAGTTAAAAGTACTATTCCCCACTGACATTTGTACCGCGTGGCAGGTTGCGAAAAGATCGTCTGTGGATACAGATAGGTCAATTGTGGCAAGCGATCACCGCCTGTATTACTCAGTAGCCCCTATCCACTTAGGAAGGAAATATTACACGAACACCTCCACTAGTCCCACAATTATCCTTCCCACACGCGACCTTAGGAAGAAAGTCATATTTAAACTAGTAGAAATCTCCGTGACTCCTGACCGTGACTGCCGTTTAAAGGCCCTAGTGGAGAATTGCCACCGGGGGGGAGAACACGAGTATCAGTTAAAAGTCAGTGTAAATATCCCACGCCAGAGATAGCATATACACATACAAGCACATTCATACCCAATATTTTTTTTTCTGGATAGGCATAACTGCCAATGGCCTCAATATACGCTTTGCCTGTATTGCAATCGAATCATGGGAATCTGAATAACAAAACCATATCTCAAGGTATAGCTGTGAACAATTTAACTCTGTTCAAGCCCCTTCAAGATGATCCTGAGTCATATCTTCATAATCCCTAGCCCGATAGTTCCTACACCTGCCGTTAGCAGTAGTATGATCCGTCAGCAAAGAAAGCGTGGGCTCGCCATTTGCGTTTCACTGACAGGTCTCTGCCAAAAGACGCGTGTTGTCCCTAGCGTCCAGACACACGCGTAGGCAAGATACCTAGTTTCACACATAGTATCTCTCCTCGCTGCTGTTATAACTCTAGAACAAGCGTAAATACACCATTTTGAATTCTGTGGGTTGTCCAACTGGCACATGAAACTGATGTCGCCGTTTCTACGTTACGGTGTATTCACCGGCTCAGCAACCAGCTTCACAGTATTTGTTACTATTGCAAAGTGTTTCGCGATGTATTAAGTTCTAAGCACCATACTATGCACGGATCTATTATCCACACACTATGCTTCCTTCGAAGCTTCAGGGGCTGAACTATTAGTCAATACGTTATTTATCTTGCCGGATTCGGGGGGGATTTTCACCGTGATCTACAATGTGATGAGTGACATGAGGCTTAACAGAAGCTAGGCGAGTCGTCAGCACCTAGCTGAATATGTCAAAACACGGTCATATCAACGCATATGAGAGGCGTGCGTATTTCGCAAAAGACTAATTGTCTGAGACTATCAAATATATTAAATCATAGTTGGTCTTGAGCGGAAGGAGGATATTCCGTGTGATGGTTGTGTGTTCACAGAATGCAATAAGGTAAAAGGCATTGTTCTAGCCATATTGGTTGAGTCCAGATGACACAGATCACGATCGCCAACCACTTCTGTAAAGGAATAGAAAAAAAGAAAAGAGAAAAACATACAACAGGAGGGATTCGCTGGTGGTCACCCACCCAACTACTAACCTCCCGGCGTGTGGCTTAAGTACGGCTGAGCGGACGGGAAGCCCTGTTCTCCACACCCTATGGTCGTATGTGGAAGGTTCTTAAGGATAAAGCCTTATATACAGCATTTGATACCGGAAGAATCGTTTTTCCGGATGAAATGGCTGGAAAGTCCGTGATCTTTGTCAATTAATTACTATGTCGAGATACTAATAGGCTGTTGTCCTAATCCTAGAGAAATATGACTCTTCAAACCACCCTAGTAAGTATAATCCCGGCGCTTTGGAGATCATCGATGACTGTCTAATACAAACCAGCGATGCTAAAGTCGTTGACCGTGGTCATGTGATGTCACGTGAATTGAGGGCGAGGGAGAGAACATACGTTTGAAGTAAAGAGGAAACACAATTTATAATATTTAATATTTGGATGCAATTAGAAGATAATATAAGTTAAGAGGCTTGTCCCCAAAAAGCTTTTATCTAATTACTCCGTTGCTTCGGGGGCGCGTCTTACTAAATGTAGTGTCCTGCTGTACGAGTACATCCAAAAATATATTCCTTGGATGCCATGCACACATTTGACAATCTGCCATCGACAAAAACGCCACCACAATCCCCATATTCAGTTTCCGAAGCACACTATGGCAACTATATTATCCTAACCCGGCTTGCCACAGTGACATTACTCAAGCTTTAATGAATTTTGCCATGAAGTATTTGTGTTGTAGTGCTAAGAACCTCAAAAGCGTGTACTGTGTATAAGGCTAACAAACATCAGGCCCGTGAAGTTATTCACTATGATGTTTCTCAGCAATATGGTCTCAAGTTTCCCTGTTCTGATGATGCAGGTTCAGCCTCAGTTGTATTCTCCACATGGCCCCTTAATTTCAGACTTTGCGGCGCTACTGCAAATGCTGCCAGCCTGCCACAGAAACTGTACGCCATAAACCCACTGAGAAGCTCATCTATAGAGCTTGACAGGAACCAAGTTCCTAGGTGAGCTTAATGTAGATCAAGGAAAATTTGCACGGTTCAACCAGACTTATGCGTTCATCGGTGCTGGGATGGTAGAGGAAAGCGGCAAGTGGGGAATTGCTGAGACGATGTGGAAGTTACAAGATTGAATCTGTTTATATGGTCCAGCTGTTGAATGGCTAACATCACAAGAATCCACCGGCCGGGTGTTCTATCAAATTAGGCTTTCGCCACGTGGTAAAGACCAGCTACATCTCACACTTTCAGGGATCTATGCGTGGTTACGCTTTTTCTCAAACAGGAATATATGGGTATGCTTAGGCCTTTCTTCCTTTTTCTTCTACCTTCAGCTTTTCGTCAAGTCGACGTTCTGGACGAGGCTCGGCAACTGAGTCGTCTCCCTTGCCACAAGCTAATTTTAGTTTTCCAAGGGTTGTGTGTAGGATACCAATTCCCACAATACGGAGTACTGCAGAACTAAATAGCTTTCCAGAAGCTGTAGGGCTGGAAACGAGGGTGGCCTGTGTTTCCATGGAACCTCGTTGACCCAGAGCCGGGCTTCATCGTGGGGCTCAGTGGGGCAAGAACTCCTAGCCGAGGGCTGCAGAACTTTCTATGAGTATATATAGAACGGAATTCAACTCCGGAGTGCACAATATCCTATGGTATTTTAAGCGAACGGACCATGAAACTTTATCCTAGAGTGCATGGAAAAGAGAGCAATCACTTTCCGCGGATGCGATGCTCAATGAAGATCATAACACTCCCATATCCGTCCCACACTCCTTGTCTCCTATGCAAGGAAATTATCAAAATGGGTTAATCATTTTGGATACTGTCATTCCCACCAGAGGGAACAAAGCACCGCATCGAATTGGAGCTGCATGTTGGCCAATGTTGGGCTTACTTGCAGTTTTTCAACACGCGGCCTCGAAAAAGCTTGTCAAAAGAAAGTACCACTCGACAACCGAAGCGGAAGAAGTTCCGCTTCGTAGCAGTGAGTTGAGAATATCCGCAGTATGAAATCGAGCTAGGTGCTCCGGGAATCCTCCTATAGGCGCAGTGACGTATAGCCTCTCCAAATCCCGACAAACGACATGCTATTTGAGACGTCACTTGGTCTTGACGAGGATCAAAGTGAATAGTACTCTCCAGACTTAAGGAAACTGTGGCACAAAAAAGTCCTACTCTCGCCTTAACTGCCGAACCAAGAGAATTTACATAATGCAATAGTACTTTACTGCGTGGTTGGACAACTTGAGCTAGTTCGAGAGCCGCATTCCGGTTACCTCGTCAAACTACCCCTACCTGTCCATGTAAGAGATAAAGTACGTACTCCTAGTGTTGGGTGTCGGGGACCATCGAGGGGTATAATGCCGAGGGCCCTCTTGCCGCGGTCCCACAATATTAGATGTAGATGTCGGTTCTCGGTAGTTGCTTGCATTGATACTTTGATTCCACTCCGTGATAGCTACTCAGCATAAGCCATGTTCCGACTCCTGAGTCCTGACCTAGCTAACCTTCCTTGTTGGAATTTGAGGGGGCTGAGGCAGGTACCGAGAGAATGGGAAATTACGTTGGGGGCTTTTAGTCAAGATAATGGCTCGAATCATAAGTGTGGACCTTCGAAGGCTTTGAGCTAGAGCAAGACTTTCCTCTTTTTACTTAGATCAGAAAATGTTTCGGCGAGTGGGTGTCTCATGAAGTTTTAGGGCCCGCTTGGTACCTGAGATTTTTAGCGATTTCGGCTATTGGTGACACTACTCCGTCTGGGTGGAGATGTGGGGATTCGCATTACTCAGTACCTCGGAGAACAAACGGATTACACGCGGGCCAGACTCAAAAAACTTCCCTATTTTTGATTTGCAACTTCGGAAAATCTCACCAGCACTAAAATAGGCCCAGACGAAGGATGTGGTCTAGTAAATGACAGCAGACTTAGGGTAAGAGGAAGAGCCTGGCGTATGTCCGTTGACAGATCATATGCTGTCTACTTAACTTTCGTCGTTGAGAAGTGGGGGTATGTCAAATTAATTTTATTTTAGAAAATAGAAGATCCCCTGTCCGCTGTAATCTTAATTCTATAATCCAAAGATTTCGGTAGCTGAATTTTTGGAAAACCACGGATGGCAGGAATGGCAACCTCGCTTCCCAGCCATGGTAGGGCTAGATCTGCCCCGGGGGAGGCTTCATGTTCCCCACCGGGACCATTCCTTCATGACTCGATCTGTGCCGTCCGCAGGCTAAGAATGTTTCGATCCCTAGCAGTTTCATGGCTCGTGAAAGCTCAACATCGTTGTAGATCCCAACCTGTTTCTGTCATTGCCATTTGCATCCTTATTTCCCCTCTGGTTGCCATGTAAAACGGATTTTTTCCCTTTTCTTCTTGCGACTGGATAGCTATACGCTCTTTGGTTCCCACCTGGGGTGTGATAGGGTTATTCTTTTCGTCCCATTTCCCTCGTTTTTGCGACTTCAGCTACACACGCACACACATTCTCTCTTCTTCGTGTCGCCGTACTATCGACACTACCTCGGCAGTCCACAATCTCATCACCACTTGACTGGACCATGAACTGACCTCTCTCTGAAACAACATGTCAAGCCTTGTCATCGGGACTGCGCCGGAGGGTCTGGACTTGTCCGCCGACAGGATCGCTCAGAATGACGGCACGGTTGGGGCTGTCATGGCAATTGCTACAATTTTTGTGGGTTTGCGATTTTGGGCCCGAACGACAAATAAAAGTGCCAATTTAGCATATGATGACTGGTTTGTTTTGGTAGCATTGGTATGTATCCTAGATTTTTCATGGTAGTTATTGAACTTTCGACTGAACATTTTGCATAGGCGTTCGCATATGGGACAGGCGTATGTTGTATTTTAGGTATTATCACCACCAGCTGCCTACTTAAAACCCTCAAGGGTGTTTAAACTAACAAAGTGTGTTTCCAGGAGGCGCATATGGGATAGGGAAACACATATGGGTGGTGGAGGAGAATGATGTCCTAATGAGCATGAAAGTAAATGCCTCCGCGCTTTCGCCTATAATACCTTCCTATGAAACTAATGTGGAAACTCATAGATTATTTTCGCCTATGTTATTCTGTATGCCACAACAGTGCCTATGGTCAAATTATCCGTGCTTCTTCTCTATCGCCGAATTTTCCGCCTCACTTGGTCCTTGTATTTCTGTGCATTTCTCTCCATCGGATATGCCGTCTCAGTCTCTACCACCATCTCGGTCGCTTGCGTCCCGTCATCTTTCTTCTGGACCCAATGGGTGTATCCTTTGAGTGGAGGGCACTGTCGAATCAATCTCTACCAATTCTATCTATGGAACGGTGTCGCCAACCTGTTCACCGATGTCATCATTCTATGCCTGCCCATGCCGATCGTTTGGAGCCTGCAGATGCCCAAAGGTCAGAAATGGGCCATTAGCGGTATCTTCTTGCTTGGTGGATTGTAAGCTATGCGCCCCAACATCATCTAAACAAGAAGCTAACAGAACTGTTCTTACAGCGTCTGCGTAGCGACAATTGTCCGCATCTGCGCCATCACGAAAATGAAAGATTCCGTCGACATAACATGGGTGATTGGCGACGCCATGATCTGGTCCAACGTCGAGCCCTGCATCGGTATTGTCAGCGCCTGTCTACCGACCCTTCGCCCACTCCTGCGCCAAATCCCCCAACTGAGACTATGGGGGATTTTCGGCAGCAGTGGCCTCACACGGGACTATAAAATGACCGGCGAGGGGACTTCGGGCACGGGGCTGCAGAGTACCGGCAACCAGTCAGGCTATCGGCCCTCGAATGGTAAGAAGCATCGATTTTGGCCGGAAGAGGATGAAATCTACCTGACTACCGACGTAGGACGTGCTAGCAGTCCTCGCAGAGAGGAAGGCGTGATCCCGTCCAACGGCTCCACTGCTTCCGGCCAGGAACCTATCGCCATGCAGATTAGGGTGAAGCAGAACTTCGATTGGAGAGAGGACCACCCATGATCTACGAGGAAGTTTCTGACCGTCTACTTTGCGCTGCGACTTTGTTTTTTTCTTCTTTTTTTTTTTTTTCCGGGCGATGGAGCCGACTACCTCTGTCTGGTCATGTCATCTCTATCATATGTCTTATGACTGTATACCCATCTATAAATATCGAATTTTTTCCTTTGTTCTTTCTTATTCACTTTTATAAATAGGCTGATTGTTTCCGAAAAGTTTGTATCATCATAACGGTGAGATACTTAGCCGCATAGATAGTCTACCTTTGTCAGATTATGTGTTGTCATATAGCCCTTGTTGATTCCCCTTGCTGCATTCAAATTACTACCTATTTACACGCTTATTCGCTAACAACGCCTGTAATCAACGCCCGTACACTAAAGTTACCCTTATCGGGGTATGGAGTACCAAAGTCGCGAGCAAAATCAATATTGCTCTTCGGTGTCTTATAAAGCTCGATATCAAAGCGACGGACGATCGTGGCGATGACCAGGAAGAGCTCCGCATAGGCCAAGCTATACCACAGTTAGCAAAATACAAACATTGTAGAGGGGTATCTCGCATCTTACTTCAAGCCCACACACATCCGGCTTCCCTTCGAGAAGTTCACCAGATAGCGGTCCAATCGCTGTCCCTTGGCAGCGGCTCGGATCCATCTTTCCGGGTCAAAGGCATGGGGATCCGGGAAGATTTCGGGATCCATAAGGGTGAAGTAGTTTGTTTCGCTGACTGGGGTCTAGAATGTTGTCAGTGTCGTCACATTTTCCCCATTTAAACGGGGCCTAACTCACTCCAGGTGGGATAGTGTAGTCTTTATACACCAGCGCTTCCGTAGGCGCCACTCTCGATGATCGATTCGCGATTCCGGTTGAAAGACGCAGGGATTCGCTAATAACTCCGGACTGGACTGGCATTAGCATGCAAACTTTGGCGAGAGCAAGGTGAGCCATACCATGTACGGCAGTTTCTCCAAATCGTTCCATGTCGGCTGAGAATCCGGTGTCGGCATAACTTGCTTCAGTTCCTCGCGGAGCTTGTTTCGGATATCCTCCCTAGTGAACAAATGCCACGCCCCAAGAGCAAGCGACCTGGCAGTCGTCTCGGTACCTCCAATTACCAAAGCAAAGCCCTCATTCATGAGCCTATGCGCAGATCGCATATGTTCCGGCATGGATGGCGCGGCAAGTGTGTCGATCAAAGTCCCACTTCCAGCTTTAGCATTCGCCTTTTCCAGTGCAGCCGCGCCCCGCTCATAGAGTTCCTTCTTCTGGCTCGCCAGCGCAAACGCAGGGGGGTTCAACAACTGTAAAAGGGGAAGCGGCATGACATTCATGAGCGTCTGCAAGATGGGAAAGAAATAGAGCAGATGCGCCAGCTGGAAGAGACCATTGATACCATCTCGGACCTTGGCATTGAACCCCTCCTTATCAAGGTTATTGGGGTTGAACCCGTAGGCATACTGGTGGATGACATCGGAGGTTAACGCCGCGAAGGCCGCGTCCAGACTGACGACCGTGTGCGCACGACAAGCCTCCTGGAAATGACCCACGAGCTTGCCCAGACTGTCACGGATCAGGTGCTCCTGGTTCTCGATGGCGCGCTTGGAGAAGAATTTTGCCACGGGTGCGCGCCGCTGCTGGTGACTTTCTTGGTCGATAGCTGAAAATCCAGATCCTTCCAGGCCGAACTGAGCGACGAGGACGGGGTCCTTTTCGCGTTTGCGAGCGCTAGAGGCGTAGATTTCATCGTAGTAATCGGGGTCCTTGATGTGGACTTCACGGGGGTTTATGCGGACAATGGGGCCTGTTTGCGATCAGCCTTGGACCTACAAAGTAAGTGAAGGAATTCAATAAGGCTTACCGTAAACTTCATGCAGCCGTTCGAGCTCCCAGATAAACAGGCCGCCTCTGATGATATTGTGGTAAAATTCGTAGCCATGAGTAATCGCAGCCAGCTTTGGGCCGGGGATATGGCTCAATGGGTGAAAATACAGGCGATAGATACTCTGAAGCACCAAATAGGCAACTAGACCTATTCCTAATATCACCAACACGGCCATAATGACGGTTGCATTACTTGCAGAGAAAGATGAAGGAACAATAAAATTCTTACTGAGTCAGTTATTACTTTTTTTTTGTAGCAGGGGGTCCCTGCCACTGGCAGGGAAAGCACAAGGTAATTCCACAACCCCTATTGGCTTTTCAAGTGAGGATACAAGTGTCACCATTGATGATGCAGCCCGCTAAGCACTAGCCTTGAGACCGTTGAACTGTCTGTCGGCTGCCCCGCTCTCCGGCTGGATTATGATCCCGTCAGCCGTTGGTGGCCCATCTTTTGCCAATGGCTATTGGCTGTACCATCTCCTACGGGTAAGGACACCGTTGTCGTAGGATAGGCAGCTAGTCTCTTGGAGGTAATACGACCGCTTGGCTTCTCCGCGTTATGAAATTTGTGTGTGATTGCTAGCAGGCTCAAACAACTGTGTAGGGGAAGACTTGAATATATAAAGTTGTTTATGCCCTGGAATTCGACCTGCTTCTTCCTCCAACGAGATAAACAGCTTAGCTTGAGGAAAGAAGAAATGCTATAATCAATTCACTAATACCATTCTTGTTAATACACTAAGCGGAGGCCTGGGGAACTATCAATCTAACAGGGTAGAAGCTAGAAACGGGATTTGCCTCCTCCGTACGTGATACCTAAAATTAGAGGAACTAGCGCTGAACGTGTGTGGTTCAATTACTGTTTACGGTAGGCGGTCAAGATACATAGAGCGCATAGCAATTTCACAATTTCCTACATTTCCTCGCCTCGGAACAAGGGATAGTTCATATTAGTTCCTCGCCATCATCTCGGCTTAGGGCTAACCGCCAAGTCCAGACCCTTTTGGCATGTGAAACCAATATCGAGATGGGCTGATTATCCCAAGCAGCCTGGAGACTCAGGATGCATGAAATCCTGCCCTGGATCTAAAATACAAGAACCGGGATGAGCTAGAGTACTTAACTGCCGGCATTTACGGAGTCTTGGGGCTCCCTCCCCGGAACATGCGACGAGGAATGCTCGGAGTGCCGATCCCCGGAAAAGAAGCCCTAATACTCGTTCCGACAACGGAAATTCATCGACTTGGTGAAACTGCCATCGTTTCTCACGCCTTGTCTCGATTTGACGGCCCCACATTTAAATACTGGACTATTCAATGCTGTACTCCGTACTCTCCAAGCTCCACCACACCCGGAACCCGGATATGAGAAGTGGCCGGCCCTGGCGTAGAACTTGATAAAATCAAGGGGTATTGTGTCTTATAGGCTCTACCATTGTTGGCCGGTTAATTGGTCCAACAAGGGATCGAAATGTCCAAGTGCGCTATGGACTTATGTGTATATATATATCGGGCTTCATCACGCTTACTACGATCCTGAAGAACTGATCGCCGTGTGGAACATAGAAATCCAATCTCCGAGGTAACCTTACACAGTTTCGCGTGCTACTAGATAAGTCGAAAAGCTTTGACAGACAAATTCTTTGACATCCGAGCGCGACGGGACACTCAGGATGAGAGTTAGCAATACCTCAGGCAGTATCGTTTTATGGTGTCAAAGGACAGAAAGAAAAGAACGAAAAAGAAGGAACATTGAATGGGAAATAACATAATGTTAGTCACGCTGTGTAGTACGATTTCTATGATGCTTTGTCCCGTCTACCTTGGGTCTATGCTAGAGCGCCTATCTGTCGTACACAGGTATTAGTGCTTACGAATGCAGAGGTGTATCGGAGCACAAAGTTGCACAAGAAACAAAGATAGGCTGATAGACCTGTCTGTAGAATGAAGAACAAATACCATAACGGGAGGAACGATATCTACTTTGAAAGGACTCTGCAAATATACAGGAGAGCCGGAAGGAAAGAAAGTTTATTCAAGAAAATAAGAACCCTGTTATTCTCGAGACCCGAGTATCAAAAAGCATTGTCTAATTTGTCTCTTGCCATGTCAATTATTAACCTGGTCGAGATTTACTTCTTAATTAGACCCAAGAGCGTTGACCTGATCAGGCAATACACAGGTCTTGCATACTAAACGCGACGGACCAGGGGCTTAATCCAATGGCCATTCATCTCCGTTCTGGAAATGACCCAGCTTCTGACGATGATACAAGTGATTGGTGTGGAATATATCAAACCACCTGGATCGATGGAAGATACCAGAAGGATCCGAGGGGAGCGCACTTAACTTTATGTTATAAAGACGCGGAAATGATAGCTAAGGGGACCCGTATCGCTAGTCATGGGTATGTGGAATCGGAGTCCGACTGGCACATTCGAGACGCCACACATGCCCGGGAAAAGCCAGATTCAGTATCAGCCAGGCCGACAGGTCGCCCGGCATGGCTAGCAGAGAAAAGACTCCACTTTGAAGGTGAAGTTGGGTTTGGACAACGCAGAAAAGAGGGTGAATTCGGCGCCGACAAAGAAGGGCCAGCGGAAAATGTGAGGCCGGATATAGGAAGCTTGGCTAAGCCGTGTACTGCAGCTGTCGATGATTCTCTAGACTCAACAGTCAACGTGTTGATATATCCTGGTGCCCAAGCACTACCTACAAACCCACTTCTGGAAACAAGGGAAAGCAGGATGACCAGATCTTCACCCCTTTTAGTCGACGGCCATCCGGAAACAATATGTCGATTTCCTAGCTTTGGTCATTGAAACTGGCGTTAGCGAGTCTTATACAAAGCCCCATGATGATGTCAAATGGCGATCTCAAAGCTAAGCACGCCGAGGCTGGTGTACGTTTTAGCCTTCACCAAGGCCTTTGCTTTCAGAGTTGATGAAGAAACCATACAATTCACTCCCAGCCTTTGTGCTTCATGCAGGAGTAAATTGTATGACAAACTGATATAACGAAGCTGGCTAAGCTAAGGATATTGAACTTGCTGACTTATGGCGCATCTTCTTGGAAACTCTCCTATGAAGCCTACACATTGTGTTCTTGTTTGAATGCACCG